CTGCTGAGAGATCAAGGACCGGAGCTTGACTGAGTATGCGATCAAGAGAAAGAGCCAGTAGAAGAGGACGACACCGTTGGGATTACGCAGGCGCGCATGCTCGAGCCATTGAATGGCAAAGATGACGCCCAGAGATAGGATTGTCGCAGCCGTTGTCCAAAATCGGAAGTCGCCGTACCAAATATCGGGATAATTGACGATTTGTAAAGCAAGTTGTACTGTCACGTCGGCAATGATCAATCCGAGGAGTGTCTGAAAAGGGCGGTTGGTCAGCTACAGACGAGATAAGAAAGCATTTTAAACGACCACTTGCCTGCTTGACCCAAAAATGCCAGTCTTTAGGGGCATCGGAAGGCTTTCTGCGCTGGATGAGCCATACAATGGCCAGAGATCCAAAGATGAGACCAAATGCTGCCACAGAGGCGATCCAGACATCGATGAAGCATGGTGTAAAGTCATATCGGATAGGGCTCAGCGGACCCCAACCCTCTTCGTTGCCGCATAGCGGCTGCTTGATCTCTGCAGTCGCAGAGAGATAGTTGCTACCGAGCTGTCCCAGGCGATGGAATCCGGTGAACGAGCCTGTGTGCAGAATGCGCTGCGGCGAGTAGTCGGAATACTCCATGGCGATTGCTCTTCTGCGGTTTCCCCCAACCCGCCTGTTTAACGCATGCTAGACAGAAGTACTATTCGGAAGGGGATTTATCGGTCGGTCGTTCGTGGGGCCCTCTCGTAGTAGAGGTGGAATTGACTGATCGGAATTGTTGAGCAGTGCAATTAGACGTATACACTGGAATAGAGATCAGGAAATCGTCACGGGGGCGACGTTGGCGACGTGGGAAAAGTTTTGAGGGCGGACGACCGAGTCGGAGTAAAGGCATGCGACGTACCGTGAAGTGGACGGGGGAGGTGCCCTGTGGTGGAGAGTCAGCTCGGTGTTGCTCTTGTGGTTCCAGAGTGCGAGTGACGCTGCTGCCCTCCCACTTCCGCTGCATGGTTTGTCAGCTTTGTGGACGCTGGGCCCTGGGGAAAGAAGCACCTGGCACCTCCCCGTCGCGGTCACTGATGACTGGTCCATGTCTCACACATTCGGGTTCGGAGAGCCATCCCGCGGCTTACCCAACCACAGGGCTCACCGCAGTTTAGCTCACGGAAAGGTGGGGAGCTATGACGACCTGCATTGCAGCCTTGTCCCGCATTCGGCTTTTTCGCGATACATTTCCGGTACCTCCGATGCATGCACAACTCAGTGTTCGCAGAGCCATCACTCGCCAACGTCGTGGAGTAGGGGACATGTTCCCTGTAAACGAGGGTCGCGCGTGTCAGCGTCTTGCATCTCAGTCTTTTCAGATAAGACGCTCGGATAATTGAGTCCGGCACCAGGTGCCGCGTATTGCCGTATTTTGCATGCACCGCTTACCGCATTGTGCCTCCTCACATTAGGTCCTTCGTCAGTAATGGAAAGGATGCGATAACGGAGGAGCGGTAGGCACATCATACGTAGTATGGGCAGGTACCTAACGGATAACATCGAACAATTGATGAGCTGTACGGCCTGAAGCACAGACGGCTTTTACCATACCGGTAGTGCACCGTAGCTCCGGTAGCTCGCCTTACATAAGCAAGTAGGTTTCGGCAAGCTACCTTGAGGTGTCACAACTCACAACAAGCCTTGTTTCCCCGGATAGCCAAGACAGAAACACATTGCGGGACGTTGCATGCAACATTGCTTTTCTGATTTCCCCGATCCGTGACATTCAGAGTTCGGTGAAACCCTTGACTCTGTAGACAGCACCTTCGCGTTTATCGCGATGCGATCGTCGGGAGTTTCAACTGCCTCTGTTTCTCGCGACTCATGTACAACCATGAAACATTGAATCCGACATGGTCGACATGGTCTTTGGCTGCGGTGGCTGCTGAACAAGCGCTCCCATCTGCCTGGCCCGTCAGAGAGCCACATTCCGACGCCACCGAACGCTTCTCCTCTAAGCAGCTAATCTGCCTTCTGTCATGAAGTCCCCCAAGTCTCGTCATGGTGACTCTCAAATCCCAAGGTCAACGTAAATTGAATTGCAGCCATCGGAACGGCGGACTCAAGAAGTTAAATACCATCCAGCTGGTCTCGGCTTCGGTTTTGATCTACGCATCCAGTCAACGACAGGTTCCAGAGCGGCAATGGAATCTAGAACCCGTTGCGGATCAAACATGTCTTACCCGTTTCGCGGCGTTTTCGCGGGGTAATTCACCATCCGCAACCAGAAGTGTCAGGCTCTTACTCAGTCTTGAGGACGAGAGCTGTCTCCGTCCTATGAATGGTGGTACCTTGCTGTCCGCTATCGCAATGCATAGGGCGCTGCCCATCCAGCCGTGCTTCCAAAGAAGCTTTTGAGTTTTCACGGCTCTTCAGAGCACTTCATTGCCGAGTCTACTTTACAACTATCGGCGCCGTGGCCGATGTTCGTCGAAACAACATCTGATATCATTGAACATCGTGGGACGGGTTCACTACCCTGACTGTCATGAAAGATTACACCTGGAGTAGTGGCTCCAGACTCATGGATCTGAAAGCGCGCAATTGGTAGAAAACGGGCCTACGATCCAGCAAAAGTCCAAAATATAGCCTCCAGAAATAGCCTTCGTGACAACCATGAACTTGAGGATGAAATGTGTCTAAGTCCTACCCAGGACGAAGTCCGAACAGGTGTCTTGAGCCAAAGTCTCATCGCCCCAGCCGCGCCTCAAAGGTACACAGTTGTGCGGGTTGTTGAGATTCTTATGAGCAAGATGACCTTTGTGGTGCCTACCGCCCACCTTCCTGAGCTTGTCAAGAGCTCTTTCTCCGATACGGTCTTGCCTTCTCTATACAAGAAGGACCTGCCTCACGCCTCCAGCTTCTTTCTTTCTTACTTCGGCAGGAACAAATCGACTCGCTTGCAAAGTAGAAAGGAAACCTCTATACCTCCTTCTCAGATTTCTTCCCACCCTTTCTTCTTACACTTCTCTCTCAATTCTTCCTCTCTCCCACCTCAACTCCCTCCCCCAGACAATTCACAATACTAATTCGAAGCTGGTCATACCTGCATTCTCAATCACACAGAGAGAGCTTCATCAAACTATCATCAGGATGTCAGATCCCCGGAAAAGACGCGAGGGGAACAAAACCGACGAGTCGGGATACTCCATTTCACCATCGCTTTTCGAAAACCTTACCATCGCGACCAAGTATGTCCAGCAAGGTGACGCTATAGAGATTGATCAACATGATGAATCCTACACTACGACGCTCCAACGTTTTCTTTCGGTAAACGCAGTTCTGAGCACAGCATCGTCATTTGCTATCCGTCAACAACAAGCGGCAGAGCAAGATCTTCCGCTTCAAGTCATTGGAGAAGGATTTTGCGGTGTGATATACGACTTCCATAGCAGGGGACTCGTCATCAAGGCCGGTAGATCAAACAAGAAGCAAGAGATGTGGGCTGATCATGTGGCTCACGTCAAGATGTGGGAGGCTTCGAAAACCACAAAGTCTTACGCCATGCCAAGACCTGCATATATCGTACAAGTCGAGGACCTTCAAGCTTGGAAGATTGCTCACCGCAAGGAGATCAAGAGTCACTCAGGATTTTTCTTCGATCCCAGCGCGATCATGGTATCTGAACGCATTCTCCCACTACCTCGAAGCATCCGTGAAGCGCTTGTGTCCGTCTTCTGTCCGTCCGACATGAAAGCCGACGCTTCAAACAACCCAGCAAACAAGCATTGCTTGGTACGCATTTACCTTGGACGCAGACGCATGAATCAAAGAGTTGAAAACAAATTCTCTCTGCGAAATTTTGAGCTCACGCTCGATAAGATGGAGATCTTGGGTGTAGACCCCCAGCAATATGTTCAGCCAATGGCTGAGGCTTTGGCGGTCATGCACTGGGCTGCTCAGATTGATGGTGCAGATGTCGAATTCGTTCTTGGCAGTTCTCCCGAGCGTCGCATATCTGCTCAAACCCTGGACACAATTGACCTTGAAGGGGATATCATCACGACGTGGAATATGGATGAATCGAAATCAAGCGGCATCAACTTTCTCCGACGCAGCGTGAGCATCTTCTTACTGGATTTCAATCAATGCAGAAGAATGCCGCCCACTCCCAAGGGCATTGATGATGCTGTCAAAGCATTCTGGGAAAATGACCCATACTATCCAAGACCTGGCTACAAGGAGGGATCCCAAGAGTGGATGCTTTGGGAACAGTTCAAGGGCCACTACTTAGTCAAGAGTTATAAGATTCTGGATGACTCTGCTACAATGCCCGCCGAGTTTCTCCGCAGAGTCGAAGAGCATGGAAATTCAGCTGCAAGGCAGCTATTCATGGGCGGCCCCCCTCCAAATTCTGCTACGGCTTCCTCAAGTCCCACTCCTGGTCGTTCAAGCTCTATAGCAGACACGAACGAAGGCAACAACAACAAGAAGAAGCAGAGGAAGTACGCAACTCTAGGATAATCCTCTCTCTACGGACAAGGCAAGCTCGCCAACTTCTTATATGCACAGGAGATGGCCAAGAGAAGTCCATAAAAATTAGTCTCGAATACTAGAATAGGGAATGAATTGATCAATGTTTCGGGCTATCAGGTTCCCAGTCTGAGACTCCCTCCTGTTGGGAAACAGGCTTTATCTCATAGTGACCCTATCACGCGGTTGTCAAAATAAATGGCACATTCAGGTGACTATCTACTTTTTCTACTTAATTTCATAAATTCTCCTATAATTCAAATTTCGTCTAAAGGTTTTGTAATCGTTAAAAGGGGTGTTAGTTGTCTGATGACCGAGTACGTAAGTCATGGAATCAAGGTCCATGGAAAAGATACGGACATCAGGCATTGTGATGATGACCTCGCCACTGCTATTAAGTCGTCTGGTAGAAACAAGATCGAACGCATTTTACATGAACTTGTTTGATCCATAATCCAACTCTAATCGGAAACGACCTAGCGAAGTTACGTTGAAAATGGGCGATAATCAAGATCAGCCTTTCACTTCGGAAAGCGAAGGTTCCACCAGGCTGCCTACAATAAAGCCTGGGATCAATACACAAACACCGACACCGCCATGGAAACTACGCGTCGCGCAGAAGCGTGCAGAACAATACGCCAAGATTCCCGTTGGATGGCGTATCGACCAAACTGTTCCCCCTCCCAAAGACACGGACACCTTTCTTCGTTCATCTGGAGTCTTGAGCGCGGAAGAGCTTGCTTGTACGGAAGTTGAAGACATCCAAGTCTTACTTGAGCAGATTGCGACTCGAAAGTTGAGCGCAGTCCAAGTCCTCAAAGCGTTCGCGAAGCGAGCAGCCATAGCCCAGCAGCTAGTGAAATGCTGCACAGAGCTCATATTTGAAGAGGCTCTCAAACGAGCCAAGGCTCTAGATGTCCATCTAGAGTGGACAGGCTCCGTAGTTGGGCCGTTGCATGGACTCCCGGTATCCCTTAAGGACATATTCGACGTCAAAGGGTTTGACTCTACCATCGGTAAGCCGCTGATTGCAGGTTTCCAGTGTGGTACTAACAACTCCAAGGCTGGGTTAACCTCATTGGGAAGCCGTCGAAAGAAAACAGCGTCTTGTCAGACGTTCTCATAGCTCAAGGAGCTGTGCTTTTTGTCAAGACGAATGTTGCGCAGGCACTGATGATAAGAATCTCCACCAACATACACTTGCAAGACCGTAGTCTCATATAGAACTTTAGCTATCGGACTCCTACAATCACGTTTTTAAACAATCTTTGAACTCACTCAACTGCGAACTGATATCTGGTGGCAGCTCAGGTGGCGAAGCGGCACTCGTAGGCTGTCATGGTAGTTTGGTCGGGATCGGAACAGACACCGGTGGTTCCATACGTATCCCAGCAGCTCTGCAGGGACTTTACGGGCTCAAACCGACTGTTGGACGACTACCATTCGAGGAGTCGAGGTAAGTTGCTCCCCCCCAACGTTCGGTTGCTTTGTTGCTTTAAAGCATCGTTGACTAACAAGAGTGGGACGGCAGCAAATGGAAATTTATCGCACCGCCAGTGGCTGGTCTCCTAGCATTCAGCCTCTCGACAATCGAGACCTTCATGGATGGCATCTTGTCTTGTGAGCCGTGGCGAAGTGATCCGACGTTGCTGCCCATCCCGTGGGGCAAGGAGCTCGCGGCCAAGCCCGACAAGCCTCTCAAGATCGGATATTACATCAATGACAACGTCGTCCGTATACAGCCGCCTATTGAACGTGCGGTACGGGCTGTCGTTGATAGCCTCACGGCTGCAGGGCACACTTGTGGGTGTTGGTCCATTGCTCGCTCTTGGAAATTTTGGCCTTGGCTGTACCTGTGTGCTAACACAACGCATGCAGTGATCGAATGGGACCCCACCTCGCTTGCTGAAGCTTACAAGGATTGTACAACTGCCACATTCGCTGATGGCGGTGAGTCTCACAGGATGCTGAGTGAGGCCAGCGGAGAGCCGTTAGCCAAAGGGCTTCTCGTTGGAACTGAAGAAGACAAACTCTCAGTTGCAAAGTCTCGCCATGTAGCTCAGCTCAAGCACGGATGATATGCACTACCTCGACTAATGAAATTACACAGCTGGCTGCCAAAAAGCTCAAGTATGAGCAAGAATACCTCAAGCGCTGGAACGAGGCAGGTGTTGACGCCCTCATCACGCCGGTGGCACCCTGGGTCGGGATGAGACCCAGAGTGTGGGCCAGGTCAAAGCCTCACGTCGAATACACCTCGCACTGGAATTGGCTTGATTATGCAGCCTTGACGATCCCCGTAATGCGAGCTGAAAGCGATGGTGCCTCGAGCCAGCAGTGGACTGATCATGTCCCATGTAACAAGAGCGATGAGATAAACTACCAGCTGTGTAAGCATTCTTACGGCATCGCCTCTCAAAGGGCTGTACATACTAATGAAAAACTAGATGATTTTGAGCAGATGCGCGGCATGCCGGTTGGTGTGCAGATTATTGGAGGAAAGTATGGTGAGGAAAACTGTATCTCAGTTGCAAAAGTCGTGAAGGATGCTCTGGAGGTCGAAACCTTGAAAAGCACAAAGCACAATATCGTAGTATGACAGTAAGAAATGCTTTGTCACTAGTATCGCGTGATCCGAAGAAATAATCGAGTCGAGACAATATCACAGAAAACTCAGGTAAATGATGGTATCCGACTTTTAAAGCGGACATCGTTAATGGCATGTTGGTGTTTTCCTCAGAAACGTTTGCCAGGGGTCGTCAGAGTACCTACCTTATCTATACCCATACACCTCAGTCTAGCTTGATTAGATAGCTAAACGACGTTGCAGTCTGCTGAGCCTCAAGATACGACAAGAAAAGTACCTGTCTTCCTTGTCCGGGGAAAGGCGGGCTATCGCCTGGGTTTAAGCTTATCTCGCAGGAGTGGCAGGCACGCGGGAAGCCAAGACCCGCGAACAGGAAACCACCAGTACCTTGCTAGGTACGCAAGATAAGATAAGCCAAAATCCAACGACGTCAATCCAGGAAGACCCCTCCAACAACTTTCTTTCCTCCGAACTTTATTCAACTACACACTGGCGTCAACTGTACTTTCCGACTGATCATCTGGTAGCCGCTGCGTGCTGGCGAAAGAGAACACGATGACCAGTTCGCCGGCATCGCCGCGACGGCGACATATCCTTTCGTCTGTCAATCCCGGCGACAGTCACGAGAACACACCAGAGCCAACCAAGCGCAAATCGCCGCCCGCTCCAACAGACGCAGGAGCAGAAGCGCAAGCGCAAGCAGAACCAGGCGACGGCGAAAACCTGCGACCTAGATCATCCCGCTTTCGGTTAAAATCCAAATATTCAAAGTCGAGCCGATCGCATCGTCACCGCGACCGTGAACGTGGCCATGATCCAGACGCCGCCGACAATGATGAATCCCGCTCAGAACACCGCCACAGTCGCCGCCACCACCACCACCACAGCAGCAGCCGGCGACATCGCAGACGTTCACGGTCCCCGACGCCACCGAACCCCTACGAACCCCAGGCCCTCGACCCAGACGCCGCATTCCGCGAATCCCTATTCGACGCGATGGCCGACGACGAGGGCGCGGCATACTGGCAGGGCGTCTACGGGCAGCCGATACACGTCTACTCGAACGAGAGGCCAGGCCCAGAAGGCGAGCTCGAGCGGATGACGGACGAAGAATACTCCCAGCACGTCAGGCAGAAGATGTGGGAGAAGACACACCAGGGCTTACTAGAAGAGAGGGCCCGTCGGGAAGAAGCACGGAAACGCAAAAAGGAAGAGGAAAAGGTGAATAGGAAGCTTCAAGAAGACATGGAGCGGAGCCTGCGTCGCGGGGAGGAGCGGCGCAAGAAGAGAGCATGGGTCCAGCTGTGGGAAGAGTACACACGAGGCTGGACGGAGTGGGCCAACAACGTGGACAAGATTCCCTGGCCCGTAGAAAGCGGTCGACGTAGAGACATTAACGAAAAGGAAGTCCGGCGGTTCATCGTCAACGGGCTCGGGCTGGAGGATATTGGCGAGAAGGAGTTCGCTGCGAAGCTGCGCGAGGAGCGCGTGCGGTGGCATCCCGACAAGATGCAGCAGAAGCTTGGCGGACAGGTGGACGACGAGGTTATGAAGGACATTACGGCGATTTTCCAAATCATTGATAAGTTATGGGCAGATACCCGGTCGAAGGCGTAATTTGAGCATACAGTACATGCGGATAAAAGCCTTCGACCATCAGATCATCATACGGCGCAATAGCAGAAAGGTTTTTTACAGGTACGGGGTGTTTTGTTTTAACCGTCTCGGGAGAGGTCAAGTGCGATCGAGATCGCGAGCTATCAATCCCATGTTCGACTTTGCTTTTCACACGGTGAAACATTGGGTGAGGCAGTGTGGCGGGACCTGAAATGCACCATTGCTTGCCTTGCCTTGCCTTGCCAGGGCCCGCCCCATTTGGAGAGCGAGGTGGCTGGCTGCAGCTGGCTACGGTGTTTGCACTAGTAGATATGCATGGTTCGGATACGAAGTCTGGTGCAGGACAAGCGTGGCCTGCTGCAACACTGTGTTGTTGGAGCAAAGCGCCATTTATCGGGTACAAAGCAACTCCGACGTTACTCACGTTCCAAACAGCAGCGCCCTTAGATATTTGGGCAAAAGAGAATAATGCCAGAAGAAATGTGGTTATCATGTAGCGGTAATTATTGTTGTGCACTTTCCCTCCCACTTGATGTAGAGACATAGCTTGGATGGTAGGATGAATCAATCACGAGTTCGAGTCAAAAGATGGTTGAATATACATTTGATGTTTGATTGATGTACAATTCGTACTGGTATTACATCTTGATATCTCTGATAATCCCAAAAAAGCCCAAACAATGCTGTGTAGTACCCTTTACCACGCACCGGAAATTTCAGTCGTTTCCGCTAAGCCATTTCGTTCCATAATTCCCATGATCATTGTTTTAGATTCCCAATTTACAGGTTGGCAACGAGAGCAGCACCGCCGAAGAGAGCACCGAGAGCAACGGCAGCAGTCTGAGCGGGGGCGGCACCGGGAGCAGAGGTGCTCTGAGCAGAGGCGACGCTGGAGGCGGCGGAGTTGGCCTTGCTGGTGACGGAAGCGATCTTGGAAGAGATGGAGGCAGAGCCGGCGGCATCGGTGGCGGAGGTAAGTTGCTGGCTCAAGGAGCTGACCTCGGCACCGGCAGAGGAAGTAATGGAGGCGATGGCCGAAGAGGCGGCGCCGGCGGCGGACGAGGCACCGCTCAGGATGGAGGAAGCCTCGGAGGCAATGGCGCTAGAGGCGGAGCCGATGAGGGAGCTGACCTGAGAGGCGCCGGGGACGGCGGGGGTGGTGGAGGCATCCTGGGCCTGAAAACGGTTTATCAGTATGTGGTAGGAGAGAGTGTGATGAGGATTCAACTTACGGCGACCAGGGAGACCAGGGCGAAGACGGTGGCGGCGGAGAAACGCATTTTGACTGATTTAAGTTTGTTGGATTTGGTGTTTAGGGAATGGAGTTATTGAATTAGATATCGAGTAGTCGAGGACTGTATATTTGTATGAGATTTGGTTGATTGGATAGAGTGGAGGGAAGGGAGACGACTGGAGGATGGGCTGACGGACAGAGGTCTTATATATCTTCTGATGAGACCATCTAGAGGGGAGTAACGGGAAGAGAGAGCCAAGCCGAGCCGCCTGTGCCCCGTTCGTTCTCTCACTCACCTCTCTTCCTCTCCTTACCTCACACCCCCAATGAACCGTTCGTCATTCACATTCATCTCACACCCCCTTCACGCCGAGAGAGGCCAGGCACCACCACAAGAATCCTCCACCAAACGCCGGGCACGCAAGCCTAGCACCAAGAATACTTGGCGCGTTGGTGTGTTGTGGTAGGCAAGGGGAGGTACTCCGTACACCGTACTCGCGGCGTGGGCGGTGCGATGATGGGATTCCTTTCCCCGTTTTCGCCTCCTTTCGTTTGGGCGAGAGGGCTAAGAGGCGGAACCAGGGGGTGGAGGTCAGTCCAAGGAGGCTAGGGGAATACTTGGTTAAGCTGTTGCTAGTCTAGCGGACCACGGGTGGCACTCCGAGACTTGATGCTACGTACCCCGGCCAAGGTCGAAGCTGGGGAGGGGAGACCCATGTTCGGATATCCCAGACATCCCAGAATGCGCGAGTGCCAGACTCCCAGTCGTGAAGGAGGTGTGCTCTATTCGTGGTTTATGTCTGTCTCTGTGGGTTGTGGCTCCGTAGGACCAAAGGGCGAACGACAAAGACCCACTTCCTCACGTCATCCCCGCGGTAACAATGCAGTTTCCCAACTGCCTTCTCGGTACTCTTTCTCACTCTACTTGTACGCAGTAGACTCTAGCAACTAGGCCCAATCGATGGTGGCCAGCTGGAGCAGTCATGGGAAAGAGGGCAGGCTATGGCTGAGCTGACTGAGTTGGCACGGCTGGCCGGTGGGCATACGGACAGGCGTGACAGGCTGGATGGTCGGCATTGGCAAAGCGGAAAGCTCTCCCTACCTGCCCCTCTGGCAAGCCTGCATGTCTGAGACTGGGGATACCGGGGATCATGATCCCATCTTGGGAAAGATCAGGAATTCCGAGGTAGCCTGCTGTCTGCTGTGCTGAATCTGTGCCACCTCCTCTGTCTTTCTCAGCCACTGGTCTTTTCTCACGGCGATGATTTGACCGTGGCCATCAAGCACTAACACCGTGAGCACCCTGCAGGACGAAACGCTGGACGGCCACGCTAAACGCAGCTGAAGTGTACGTATGTTCCAAAGCAGAGAAAACCGTGCAGGAACCGTCGAAGAATCCGATGCCGAGAGAGAGGCAACATTTCCAATTGGGATGGGCACCTAATGATGTCGTCCGCCCCCAACGAGAAACAAGCGCCACATTAGGCCGGATCTTTTGGCCAAACGGACTCGAATCTAGCCCACGCTCGAGACGTGTGGATATGTGGCTAGGCTCGAGCGGCAGCCGTAAGGTCGACGGTTACGAGGACGATGGCCGAGAGAGGCGGAGGAGGACGACGACGGTGGCGCTCTGCGTGGCTAACGGTTTGGCTCATGAAAGCATCAAGGGATTAGCCCGGCGCAACTGGTACCTACCAGCTGTTAGGCACCTGGGATCCGTCAATAGCTTTGCTATGCCTCTCGGCTTTGGTGTTCCCAAAGATAGCAGCAGTGATTATGCTCGCAAGCCACGCGGGACGTACACAGCCAACGGCGTGGAGCAGCAGGATGAGGCATTGACGGGAGGATGACAATGTTATCCCGCTATATCCACAACGTCAGCCATCGGCTCGATGCGATGCTTGCATACCCAAATGCATGTGTACATCAATAACGGAGAAACAAGTCCGCTTTCCTTGCTCGTCGTCCGCTTTTCCGTTTTGTTTTCAGCCGGGAGAAGCGAGTCAATTGGCAAAATGTATTGTGGGTTCGGATGAGGCGGTGGTGGACGGGGGAAAACGAGCATGGCCTATGCTGTCCAAGCAAACAAATGCAAAAACGAATAGCAACATGTCATCAACAATAACAAAAAAACCGGGGGTTCTTTTTGGAGAAGGTACGGAGTACCTACTCGGGCAGACAGGCAGTGGGCCAGTGGCAGACACCAACCGGAAAGAAAGAGACATGGACATGGGTAATGAAGGTAGGTACCTTCCCGCGCATGCAATGACACCATGGGCCAAGGACTTGGGGCGCTGCGACGGCGGCGAGGAGGAGATCGACAGGAGGTGGAGAAGAGATTGGAGGGATATGATTCGTCAAAGCTTGCTATTCCCGCGTCTAGAGGCCCCCCATAAGGCCCATGCTCCGGACTGGAGAAACCGCCAGCCATGACAAAGTCCCGTCGACATCGGATATGGATACGTACCTGCACCTCACCGTGTTACTAATGGATACACCTCTCCAGCGTGGATCAACTCACAGAGTCACAAGACGTAAGGGAAGGGGAAATGGGCAAGGGAAAAAAGAAAGAGACGGTGACATGGGGGAGGGTCGTCCAGACAATCGTACTGTTTGTCCAGTGCTCTCGGCCAATTGCCTGAGGTGCTGTTCCACAGGTTCACAGTCTCACGGTAGAAGACAAGGCTTTGCTTCGATGGAAGCCTAGGAGGAGGAGGAGGAGGAGGAGGAGGAGGAGGAGGAGGAAGCACCATGGAACAAACCAGAGACTCAGAGGATGAGGCTTGTGTACATGCGGAGTAAATACTAGGTATGCGAGAGAGCGAGAGAGGGCGGAGCTTCACTGACTGTCGGGTCCCCCGGATCGACATTTTCTCTTCGTTGGGTCTCTGTTGAGGCTGCCAGCTGGCGCAGCTGAGAAAGAGCTGAAGCAGACACAGAACACTGCCCACCTGTCAACGAGAGGTGTGTCCCATCTTTCACTCCAAGTCTGTAATAAGCCTCTTGCCAGCCTGCCAGCTCAAACTCAAAACTCAAAAAACAGAGGTCCTCGTTGGGTTTCTTGACAGGCGTGGGAAAAGAAGACGAGCAAACTTTCTTTCTGCTCGTGGAATCTGATCTGCCAAGGATTCTTACGCTTACCCGGAAGCTTGATGCACTGACGTGGGCAGGCACAGGCAAGGCAAGGTCAATGCAAGCCGCTAGGCATCATGCTTCTTCTCACAGGCCCTTTCGAAAGATCCTCACACAGCGCTGATTTCATATTTCTCTCCTTTCAATTGAGCCCTCGTTATCCTTTTCCAATTTCAATATTGCCATCTGAGAGTACTATTTTCTCTGGCCTGTCACGTCCTGTCTGGAGATGAAGTCAGAACACCACCACCTCCGGAGGCTAGAGCGAAAAGAGGACAGTGTCGCGAGCCGAACTTCGCTGTATGCGTACGTACATGGTATGAGCCGTCATCCGCGGAAGGGGGTGGGCCTCTGTTTGATTTATCGCTATGACGTATGAATGTGGCTGCCCCCCTGCCATTGGAGGTTCCACTCGCAGGCCCCATCATTAGCATCACATTCGGAGCCCGGAAGAATTATGCAAGATGAGACGGAGGAAAAAGATGGCATCTCCCGTCGCTCCGGTTCGCAGCTTCGAAGCTTGGTTATCAATGTATGTATGAACTTCGCTTGGTCTGTTAGACCATGGAGAAGACGGGGGGTTGCGGGGAGCTGCTTGCTTGGGGTTCCGGCCGTTGGAAATTGGGAGCTCGCTACCTAGCTTGCTAGTCTCCAGACTCTAGACTCCTACAGGTCGTAGGTAGGGGCTATTGTGAGTCTCGACCGTTTACTGGGTGGTCGAATTTGAGAAGCGTGAGAGAGGCGTGGTGGTCTCGACCGGTCGAAGCTTCCCGCCGTGCCGTCTTCTAATCTCCAAGTTCCATGGCAGAACCCTCGTCTTTTCGAAGTTTTGGCCCTTTCCGAATCTTGACGGTGTCAAAACCCTTGGCGACAGCCCGCGCCAATGCAGTCCAATGCGCATGGAAGGGTGAAAATCAAATCTGAATTTCAGATCAGACGTACGACCAATTGCAGACGGGTACGAACTCGTGCGTCTGTCTGGCTGCCACTTCATGCACACGCATCCAGTCTCGATAATTTAGAGCGCACAGACTGGTAAAGTCCCGTGAGCCATGAGGAGATTGGAAAGGAAGCGCATGGGAAATGAGGACCTGTTTGCAGCCTTGCTAGCATGAAGATGGGGGGGCGTGTCTCCGAATCCAAAGCAACATCAGCAGATTCCTCACCCCAAACTTCCGTGACTCGGAAAGGAAGAGGAAAGAGAATCAAATTGCGTCACAGGATGCCAACCGCCATGGATGGAGGTTACCTACCGTTCGTTTCAAGAACCACGCTTCTTTTTTCGTGACGGCGCCGTCGCCTCTTTTCACTTGAAAGTTCGGATTAAGGTGAGGTCAATGCAGAAGGTTTTCTCGCCATCAGGCTAGAAAGTCAATCTGCGAACCGGACGACCCTCGGTGTCTTCGCGTTCTTCTTTTTGAGGTGTCACAAGCCCTGTGAGTCTCCAAGTTCGTGAATACCTGCTACCTACTACTGTGTTGCTTCTGTGGGTTTCGGGGACCAAAAGATGAACACTCAAAAATCCTCAGATTAGAAGAAGTCTTGCTCGTGGGAATTTGAACCGAGTTACAATCGTGTGGCACGGCTGGTCAACACGGACGGTATTGTACGACGTACCTCACGCACGCCTTAGAGACACGTAAGACCCCGTCAAGAATGAAGATGGCTCAAAGCTTGAAGTCTCGAACTTTTATTCTCAGCACCGCCTACCTATACCTCTGCATCTCTCCCTGCCTGCCTGTACCTGCTGGCTCGCCGCCTTGCCAATGTCGTACCGTCTTTGCATGTGCAAGACAAGGCTAGAAGCAGCATACGCTACAAAGCCTGTGACGCCTTGGTCGCACAGAAAATCAATGAGGCTTCGCCCTGTCGATGGGACCGTTCCACCGAAAAAGAATACGGGACATATCTGTT